GAGTTTTCTTGCAATCCGTTATATCAGTCTTTGTTGTTATTATGAAGTTGTCTCAGAAACATTGCAAAGCAAGACCGACGAGAAATCAAGAGGTAAGTTTTTCACTTAGAAAAGCTTCGTACGAATTGCATTCACTGGATTTTAGGGAACTTCATATCGTGTGTTCATATTGTTAACGTTTGCTTTGTTCTGCAAGCTGTTCGCATCGTGTCACACTTCTTGCATATTTTGTGAGATCTCACATACTGATATTGAAGACGGGAAAGACTTTACAAGTAAATGGTGCGTCCAAAGACACTTCGGTTACAGGAACTTCTGCGTTTTTAGCGCCACATAGAACCTAGCACCAGAGTTTCCTTACATCAATCCTGCTGCCTCGATAAAGCTTGGCAAATTTCAGTGTGCTATTTGCGAGGCATCGCTTCCGGATACTGCTCAAATCTTGAAGCATGCAACATTTGCACAACGGGTGAGGTGATCTTATTGTTATCTGTGTTTGTAACGTAAATTATTTCCTAATTAAGATTAATCATTCCTTTCTACAGCTATCAACCTCGCTCTGCTGCCGAAGAGTTGGTTATGGAAGCTGGCTCAAGCAACTTGACCATAGCACAGCCTGGCAGCACAGCTGAAGTAGAGACTCCCGTTTGCTCGGCTAGGTTTGTTCTACTCAAATTTCTATTTTGTTTCAAATTTACTCATGATTGACTTTTCTTGTGTGCCATCTTTTTGAGACTCCCTGTTCCAGCTTCGAGACGTTCAGCGATAAGAAGATTCTCAACAATTTTTCACAAACAAGTGAAGTACTTGTCAGTGCAAGTGCCCCATTGGAATGTACTTCTCAACAGGCTGCATTTGGACCCAATCTTCATTTCACTTATGCTGGAGGAAAGGATGCACATTGTTTACTGATGTTACTCCGAAGGAAGAGCTTTTGTGAAGTTCCGGACGGACATCACACGTAGTCATTTGGAACTACAAAAACCTTTCGAGAGTGAGCTTGTCCGGAATATTCTATAGTTTTTAAAAGTCTGCAGTGTTTCAGATGCACATATTGCCCAAAAACGTCCTCTCCGAATGCGTGAGCATGAGGGACGATGTCATGAATCGCGATGCTGAGAGCTTAGTGTGCCGTTATTGTGATATGGAGTTTAGCTGAAAATGAATTCGGGAC